AGTCCAAGTTAATTTATCATTAAGACCCAGAGATCTCATTGGGGACTTGACCTCTGGTATAATAGAAGCAAAAGGTTTAACAAGTAGTAGGGATTTTTCGAAGAATCCTCTTTCCTTTACTTTTGGATGATTTGTTTGCTGCATTGGGGTAAAATAAAAAAAGATTTTTTTCAAAATAGAAAGCAAACAAAGGTACATGTAAATATTTAACAAAGCTTTCAGGGAAGAATTCAAAAAAATCATTAACACTAGTGGAGTTTGTTAAAATAAAGCTAATCTCATCGGCTTATGCATTATTTTCATTTAATATATAATTTTTAAATATTTTTTTATCTATGAATAGAGAAGATGATTATCATCATATCAGACAACTTTCTATATGGTTACAATTCAATGCAAAATATCCGTCTGTTCTTGATTTTTATTGGGCTTGTTTAAGTAATTTTGTGGAATTATAAAAAATAATACAATTTATCTCATGATTTATAGCGTTACCAACTCTATTTTCTCAGTCAATTGGAAATATGTTATTCGGTTAGCAAATAGATTTAAATCTATTTTTAGTGATTATTGATGAGAATCAAATAAATCTCTATCGTCAAAAGAATCACCTATTTTTTCATCATCATGATCCCTAATGAATTTATCACACTTTTTATGAGTTTGATTCTTCTCTGATATATTCATGCAATCAATTTCATCTTCCTGAATTATAATGCCATCCTTTATATTGTCCAAATCACTTCTTTTGAGCAATTTATTACTATCGAATTTATCTACTTTTGAATTTTGTAATTTAGAAATATTTCTTAAAAACTCTTTATCATAGCAGCAATTCCCCAAAGCATTCCCAAACTGTCTTAGTGCACGCTTGAGAGAGTCGGTAACTGCTTCTTTCTTCGCTTTCTCAATTGCAGACCCAAGAACCCTTTGATTATCTGCACTTCCAAACCCCACATCTTCCTTAAATACACCATTTTTAAGAGTAACACGACAAAGACTGGAATATCCAACAGATACTTTCCCATCCTTACAATCGTTATATTCCTGTGTAACCGATTTTATTTCAGAAGACCAACCGTCGAATCCAAATACTTGATTTGCAATACTTATAATCAACCATCCCTCAACATATGTAAGCTTTATTCCATTACATCCTGGTCTATAGCTTAAAAATTCCGGCCCAAGTGATCTATCCAGCTGCTCTGCAATTTTATCTCTGTCATTGAACTCGTGATACATAAAGAAAAAAATGAAGGTGGAAGAAAATCAACATAAACAAACAATTGAATAGATTTATTTTTGGTTCAAATATGCATAAATACCCAAAGAAGCACAAATAACTACAACCGACGCAAACAATTCTATTGGAGAAGTAGTTGGAACCAACTTGGTTACAATATGTAAGCAAAGAACCATAAAAATAAAAGTCAAGGAAAGAAAAAGCACTTGTATCGCGGTAAAAGCAATGGTAGATTCTGCATCCACAACCAACCCTCTAAGCTTTCTTATTCTTTGCTTGTCTTTACTTTTGAAACTCTTTATTGCCGTTGTTTGAGCACTCATATTGGGGTAAAAAACTAAATGTTATTTTTGCTCAGTATCTGAAAGAAATACATCTTAATTATGGCCTTGGAAAATTCAGGCAATAAAGTCTACAATTTCCATGAATTTTATATCAGTAGATAATTTTAAGGTTTTGAAAATATATCGAATCAGCTAAAGAGTAGTTGAATTCCATGATGATTTTGATACAAGCCTGCTAGGCATTTAGAACATGCTACAAAGAATTACACATAACAATGCTTCTGGTTTTATAATAATTTAAAACTGGAGCCAACCATAGCTTGATTCAAACAATACTTCATGGATATGTAATAGCTTCAATAGTTACAGCCTTCCTCGGAGTTAAATCAAATATTCCTAAATCTGAAATCAGGGCAATGAAGCATACTATACTGGTACAGTCAGTTAAAATGGAGATGTTAATGCTAGTCGCAAAATCAAAATATATAATATTTGTTGAGTCTGTAACTGCCAACTTGATATTTTTCATTTGTTCTTGCTTGAGCAGCTCACTGATGAACATAGTTGCCTTAAAACAGACATAGCAATTTGGATTCTTGTACACAGTGTCAGGAATACTAAGAATATAATCTATTTTTGAAATTTTTGTGTAGTCTGTCAAACTTTGGGGGATAGAGAATCGATATTGAAAAACTCCAAAAAAATCAGAGTTTGAGTTAGAATTGTCCATTTTATCAGAAATTAATGACTTTGTAATCTCGGATGCATCGTTTGAGGCTATTTTCATCTTTTTATGGTCGGATTTATCAGATATCTTAGCATATTTTGCATCATAATTCTTAATATTACACCGACTCCTATAGATCCTAAAGATTATTCTAAATAATTCTTCAGAATCGTCAGAGTTGAGTGTTAAATCCGACTTAATGTTGCAAAAATAGTCAAGTTCTTTGGAAATATCTATTTCCAATTTGCCATGTTTTATCACACCATACTTCTCCAAATCCTTATACAGTTTTGACGGATTTTGGGTTTTTTTTTTATTAAAGATTTTTAATTTAATAAAGTTGAAATCCTCCTTCAATCTTCTACAACAATTGGTAATATTTTTTCTCAGAGAAAATGCAATTAAAAGGTTACCAACATATTCATGATCTGATAATTGTAGCTGATGGTCTAGGGCAGGAGAAAATTTTAGATGCAAATATTCTGAAAATAGGTCTGGATTATTTTTGACAATGGCTATCAGGCAAGGAAACTTGTAATGATCTTCTACATTCATTTTCCCATACAAGTCAAAAAATATTTCAGTATCAAAATATTTAATCCGAGAAATGATCTTTAAAATATTCCTTTGCATGATTGCATTTGATTCCTCAATCATATTCAAAATATATTTTGCTTGACTCTTGGTAATAGCTAGCTTATTTATATTCTGCTTCCTGGTACATGCTCTCAATGCAATTAGTATAGATACTCTTATATCTTCCGACTCTTCATTTAGCATATCAATCAAATAATCAATCCCTGTCGGAATTGGAAAGTTTCCCACTGCTTTAATGATATTTTCTCTAACAACATCAATCTCATCTTCAGCCCCATAGACAAAAAGTCCAATATCGTTTTTATCAAAAAGCCTACTACAAAATGATTCATCAGACGAATGAAACCTATTCAAAACCCTGCCAAATTCTTTTCTTACGGACACATCTCTGTCGTTGATCAAGTGACAGAGATTGATCAAAAGCTTCTCTGAAAGTAGGTCTTGTTCTAGCTCCCCGATTCTTTTTAAAGTGGCTAATCTAATGTCTGTATTCTGGTCTTTCAGAAACTTTAGCAAAACCCCTAAATCTTTTATATGAGCTATTGATAATAGTCTTACCTTATAAAATGGGTCATGAATCATCCGTTGGATAATTGATTCTTTATCAGCCTGATCAAGAGAACTCGGCTCATGCTGTGCGATTTTTTCATTGTTGACATAAACACTTTGTATTGACTCTTCATTAATAAAAATTGAGTTTAGGCTCCTTAAATTTGAATTGTATTCTTCCAAAAACGGTGGACTACCTTTTCCAGCTTTTAGAAAACTTTGATTAAAAATTGTAAAGGCCAACTTTCTTACTATTGGTGAAGAGCTTTCAACAAACTTTTGGATACACTCCGGAACAATTTTGTTTTTTAAATTACATTCTAGAAAATCAATTTCACAACAAATCTTTAAATCAGACACAACTTCGTTGGTGTTAGAATCAGTTTGTAACTTTATATTTGAGCTTCCATATTCAGAAAACTGCCTACACTTTGTCATTTCAGGGATAAAATAGAATGTGAAGTATGTAGTTCTATCGGAATTTATGTATTCTGCAAACGAAATACTAACTCCCAGACAATTAATATAGTAACACAGTATTTCACATAGAATAAAAGCCTGATTGCAAGTTTCTACTATAATAATAAGTCCATGAAAGAGTGAAGATTTATTAGCATTTATTAAATAACACTTGATAATTAATTGTAATAAAAAATCAAATTATGTTTTACCATTAATACAAGGCAATTCTTATTATTCAAAATAAATAAGCTTGGGTCTGCAGAATAATTATTACACAAGTTAAAATGATATCAGACAATAAAATCTACAAACTATTGCAGTAAAGTCCCTGAAAATTTCATTATATACTTGATCGATCAAATATTTATCATCACTTAGTTTATAACACAAGTTTTAACAGATAAACTAAAATAAAGCAGAATATAGTTTAAAATATCACATTTGCATCAGTCATTAATTTCCAATTTTGGAATATTGATGATTTAAATGTAAATATATACTTTGGAAAAAACAATCCGTGTGTATATTGCGATCATACTGATAGTTTTTTATTTTAGAAATTTATTCTCCTTTATGTTTATTATTTTTTTGAAACATTTCTATAAAAATATTTTTTTTCAAAGGGGTACCAATGTTGAAGAGTAGCGAAACTGATCCACTTCAAGCAGCTTTGAATGGTAGAAAGAAGTCGTTTTATGAAATCCCATTGAATAACAGCAAGTTCTTTGAAACCAGAAAGTTTAACGTAGAGCATTTTGGATTATCACTTACTCAGAGATTCACTGCTTTCTTTGCTTGTTTCATTCTAGGAATTCTTTCTTTCGTTTACGCAATTACAAATATAGTTTACTCCATTACCAACCCGTCTAAGTTCGCTTTTCCATATGCTTTCAGCAACCTCATGTTTTTCATCATGTTTGGATTCATAAAGGGGTTCAAAACATATATGATCGACCTACTTAAGCCAAACAAGAGACCATATTCCATTTCATTTATCGTTACAACGTGTGTAACTTTGTATTTCTCATCGTCAATCAATTACTTATTTAAACTACTGCTATTGATAATACAGATTGTATCATGCATTAGCTTTGGAATAACATTTATCCCAGGCGGGACTTTTGGGCTATCAAGTGTTATGAGTATGATCTTATCAAGATAGGTAAATAAATAACTAGAAATTATGAAGATTTATTTTGATTTAAATAAATATAAGTTCCTCATGTAAGTAAGTCAAATGTTATTAATTCTGCAACACTCAATCCATATATCAACAACTTCAATAAAATTCTATTGATATTAATTATGTCTAAAGTATTCAAAGAGCAGGGTGTTGGGATAGAAACCACCATACCCTATTTCTTATATCAAGAGATTGACATTTCCTTTCTGTCACGTAATATTAGTATATTTCCTACATGAATTACTTTTGTTTCAACCAAAAAACCTTAATATTTGTTTATTCCACCTCAATAATTTATTTTCCTGGTTACCAACACTAATAAGTCATCAAAAAGTAAAAAAAATTTATCCATAAATGTCTGGTATAAAAAGAAATGTTCTACAGAAAGATAAAACTACTAAAATAGAAAACAACAATGGTAAACAGAATTCAGACAATTCAAAAGAAAAAACTATCAGTGATAGTGAGCTAATTGATGTAGATTTAAAAGATTCGGCTAAGCCAAAGAATGGAGAAGTGTTTCAGAAGCTGAATAGTGCTCCTAAAAAAGTTACAGTTGTTACATCTACAACGAATTCTAAGCCGATGAAAGGCATTTCAATTGCACAATTGAAAGCTATGCAGCAAAAAAAACAAGAGGAATCCAAACGGCTTGAAGAAATAAAGGTTCAGGTCAAAGAGGCGGCAGTAAAACGAAAGGCAGTTGAAGAAAGAAAAAGAGTCGAAGAAGAAAAAGTTAAAGTAATGGCTGAAGAGAATAATAAGACTACCAAAATGACTAGTAATTTTAATAGGCTAGGTTTATTTTCAAAGCAGGATAAGAAGACTGGTGTTATCCGAGAAAAAGACGCGACTAATAATCAATTAAAAGAAACCGAATTCAAAAGTCCAATTTGCTGTATTTTGGGACATGTCGATACTGGAAAGACTAAGCTATTGGATAAATTAAGAGAGTCTGATGTCCAAGGATCTGAAGCAGGTGGTATAACACAGCAGATAGGAGCAACATTTTTCCCAACTAATGTTCTTTCGAGCAAGTGTGGTGTTGCTATTTCAGACTTGCCTGGGATTTTGATTATTGATACACCTGGCCATGAATCGTTTAGCAATCTTCGTTCAAGAGGATCGTCTCTATGTGATTTAGCTATTTTAGTTGTTGACATTGTTCATGGATTAGAACCACAAACCATTGAAAGTATTCAACTCCTAAAGCAAAAGAGAACACCATTTATTGTTGCCCTCAACAAAATCGATAGAATTTACAATTGGAAATCAGTGTCTTATAGAAAATTTTCGGAGTGTTTAGTTGCTCAGAAAGATGAGTCAAAGCGTGAGTTTGAGAAGTTACTTCATGGAACTATTAACGAGTTTGCAGAACAAGGCCTAAATGCACTTCTATTTTCCGAAAATAATAATCCTAAGAAGTACATTTCTCTTGTTCCCACATCTGCAATTTCAGGAGAGGGAATTCCGGATTTGATTCGATTATTTTTAGACTTATCCCACAAATATATGATTGAGAAAATGAGGCTTAAGGAGTATGTTGAGTGTACTGTGTTGGAGGTTAAGCAAGTTGAGGGTTTTGGTGTTACATTGGATGCAGTTCTCAGTAATGGAATTTTAAAAGAAAATGACAAGATTGCAGTCTCAGGATTTGAAGGTCCAATTGTTACAACAATTAGAACCCTTTTGGTCCCTCAACCTCTTAAAGAGCTCAGAGTGAAATCACTGTACCAAAGTGTCAGGAAGGTTCGAGCATCTATGGGTATAAAGATTGTTGCAAATAGTCTTGAGAATGCACTTGCAGGCTCAAAGCTATATGTGATTAATGAAGAGCTGCCTGAGAGCAAAGCAATGGAGCTTTTAGAAGAAGATATATCATCGATTATGTCACATGTGGAAACTGTAGAAGAAGGTGTTCATGTTGCCGCATCTACACTTGGAGCTATGGAGGCGCTCTTGTCATTTTTGAAAAAAGAGAAGATATCTGTGGCATCAGTTTCATTAGGGAGAATTAAGAAAAAGGATATTTTGAAATGTTCTGCGATGTCAAACAAATTCAATCGTATTGTTCTGAGCTTCGACGTTCCCATCGATAAAGAGCTTCAGGAATTAGCCGATTCTCTCTCAACAAAAGTATTCGTAGCCCCAATTATCTACCACCTATTAGATTTTCATAAGAAGTTTGTTCATACTTTATCCGAGTCTGATAAATTACAAAATGCGGCTGAGGCTATATTTCCAGTCAAATTCCGTATTCTTCCGAATTGTGTTTTTATGTCAAGAAGTCCATTGGTTTTAGGTGTGGAAATTGAAAAGGGAACATTAAAGATAAATACACCAGTTTGTGTATTCAAAAGCAAGGAAGTTGTTCGGCTAGGAGTTGTTACATCCATTGAAGAAAAAAAGAAGCCAGTCCAGCAAGCAGGTAGGGGAAAGCAAGTTGCTATAAAAATAGAAATTGGCAAAAATGATGCGCCTAGATGCCTAGATAGACATTTTTCAGTTGATGACATGATATACTCTGTTTTGACCAGGAGGTCTATTGATCTACTGAAGTTATACTTTATGGATGAACTTCAAGATGATCATGCGGAGCTTATTGTTTTCTTAAAGAAGAAGTTTGATATTATATAAGATTCCATAGGTTTTTTCGAATATTTTGAATAAATTTATACAATATAGGGGCATGTTCAATATTATAATCTTATGTTGGAGAATAATGTTGATAAATAATTGCAATGAAGCTTATATATTTTAAAGGACACATTGTATCATTGAAATTTGTTCAGGGTTTATTTGAATATATTTTTTATTATATTTTGTTTGTTTTTTTTGACCATGGATTCCAGTGATCATGATGACAGTAATTCTAATATAACTGACCGTAGAATAAATAGCAATGCTTCAGCAAATTCTGATGCTATTACAAATAGCTCTGTGGAAAGTTCTTCTATTTCAATCAATTTAATCCTTCATAAGAAATTGGTCACTGATTTTACTCTTTATGAATTAAACGATAGGGAAACAGTTTCATTTTACATTAAAAACATGGATTATTTTATCGACAATTTCCCATATTTTAAGGATATTTGTCTCTTGGAAGAATACTTTGTCTCTAATGAACAGTTTAGAGAGTTATTTAGGAAAAAGATCGATAGATTTATACAGATTGTCAAATATAATCCGCTGTATAGGATTCCTATCTATGATCCAGCTCATAGTAACAGCTTAGACAAGGAAGACAGTGAAAGTGAAATCAAAACAGATTCAACCTATGATGAACTGGAATATTCCATGAAAGAAAACATTGAAAAGAGTAAATACAAAGAATATTGTGGAGATGAATATTCTGAGGCCAATTACAGTAGTGAATCTGATTCAAGTGACGATTCTACTAGTTCTTCAGTCGATTTATCTTTGAATTCATGTGTCTCTGATGATTCTTTATCATTTAATTTTGAGATTGACCGGCATACAACTATTGAATTTCCAAATTCAGATACTGAAAACTTTCCCAATCACTTCCCGAAGGGTGATCATTTTAGAACCAACAAACTATCTTTAGTCTGTAGATGCTGGACCAGGATTATTATGTCCTACATTGACTCATCGGATCTGACAAGACATTTCCAAATGCTGCTTCCATATACAACCAGAAAAATTACCACGAAATTGGAATACTTCAATGGTGATTCTGAAGCATTGGTTTCTGATTTTGATCAGTTAGTGATAACTAATCAAAAGCCAACCAAGGATGACTTTGGAAATCCAATACAATCTGGTTTAGCACAAGATAGTAACATTTATGCTGGCATCAAAACCACAGTTAAAAAATCTGAAACGGTACTGAGAAAGATTAATATACTTGCAAGTGATTTGTATGTGACCAACAGTCTAATTTCATCACTTCTTTCGTCAATTTATGTTCATAACGTATCTAGACTATTAAGGAATGGAAATGTTCAAATAAGTGGTGACAGATCAAAATTCCTTAGAATTCATAATATTCTGGACTATAATGTTGAAATAGTATTAAAAATAATGTGTAAGGTTTCATCAAATGAAATTGGACCTGAGATGACCAGGTTTATAATGAAACAGATGCATAGAATCAAAAATAAATTAATCCAGTCTTTTGTAGAATATGGATTAAAGAACGGATATATTTCTGAGTGTAATGGAGACAAACTTAAAAATACACATATAACCAACAAAGAAAGCATATGTAAAAACGTTAACAATGATATTTCCACGAGCACAAACTTGGTTGGAGAGAATTCTGATCAAAACTTTGAAAATCCATCAGACCAAATACTGGACGATAGTCAAATTCCTTGTATTGATCATTCCTTGAAATGCCAAGAAGATGACGGTACAGAAAATGCACAAAGTGATAAATTAACTGTTGACATTACCAATGATGAAACCAATGAATTAGTTACAAAACATAATGACACTCAATTGAAGATAGAGGAGGTCTTGAGTTATGACAAAATTGAACAGAATAGTGATAAAGAATTATTATCAGAAACTTTTAAATCAGATGAGTTGGAAAATAGCAGTTCATCAACAATCTGTGAGAATGAGGAGGTAATTGCATTCCTAAATTATATTAATTCTGAGTATTTTAATACTATGAATTTTAAATCAGTCTATAAAGCCATTATCACTATTTTATCTTATTTCCCAGGAATATCACTCAACTATAAGCTCACTATTGGCAAATATTTACAACATTCTACGTCTGAGAATAGTTCCATTGATATGTATACGCTATTTTATATTAGGTTGGTTTCGATGATGAGTGAATGCGATGTGGTGAATTTGAATGGGTATATTAATATGGTATTTAAGTTTAACAACAATCCACATTTATTGACTTCAGTCTTTAGAATTATTGGAAAACTTCCCACATTAAGAAAGTTGAAGATAATAGAGAATTATTCTGGACAAAATTATCAAAAACACAGGGAAGCGTGTACTACTTGGAAACAGCAGAACAATTCTAAGGGGGAAATGAATATCACTGAAAAGGAATTTGTTGAATCCTCAAGTGACTTTTGTCAAAGTGAGAACACGTATTATTTTATGGATAGAATGCTAAAGTGTTTAGTTGATTATGCCGGGGAGATTTACTCAGGAAACTGTGCCTATCAGCAGATTTATGGCCATTTAATTAAGCTTTATAATTCAAATATACGATTAATTAGAAATCATGAAGGATTTTCGGATTGTCCTGACGATTCAAATCATCTTTATTCGTCTGGGAAGAATCTAAATGATATTAAGATACTTTTAAAAGGATTAATAGAAATGGAGTCTGGCCATTATTCATATTCAGAGTATGATGGATTCGATCGCTTTGTTCTTGATACATTTTTAAGTGGAATGCCATATCCCAGCATATTTGAAGAAAGGGATAAAGATGAGCAGTATGTTATTTAATAAAATGGAATATTTAATTCATAGAAGTATAATTTTTCTAAGAACTGTCTGTTGTTGAATAGCTTGCATGAGTTTATAAAAGGATATTGATAAGTAAAGTATAGTAGCATATCGTGAATTGTTATATAATTGAAACCATTGATGATGATTGTATATTGAATGACAATATCCCTGTAAGTCCTTATGATTCCAAAATAATTTGTATAGTGTTACACTATGAAATGGCCATATTGTCATAATATCTCATTACGTGATATTATTTTCCATTATCTTGTATTATTTATAGACCAGTTCAAAGAGTGAATTATAAAGTAACATAGTTCAGAGATTCTCTCATATGGCTATTGCTTTGATCAATGTACTCAACAATTACAATATTCATAGAAACTCTGACATTATTCTTCTAAACCTGAAGAATGTATTTTGGATAGGAAAGTAGTATACGTTAAATTCTAAATTGTGATAAAATCATTTATTCCTTCTCATATCTGAGCTCTCCGTATCCAACATCCTTTAATTTCCCTACATATGGATAGATATTTCCCCTTAACTCAAATATAGGATTTTCATCTCCATTCGAACTAAACATATAGTTGTATGACTCTTTGGTGAACAGTCTATAGTTATCTCCTTTTAAAATAAGCTTTGACCAACACATTTCTGTGTGTTTTGGTGTCTTACATAGAAGATACAGGAAAATTTGTTTAGTATTGAAATTAAACTGAGAAGTTAGATCGATGTTTGGCTCAAATCGTAAATAACAGTTTCTTCCACTGGATCCAAACAAGGGAACTTTTAGATTAGCTGTAATGGGTGGCTGTGGTCGCAAAGCAGAAGTAGCAAATATAGCAAATAACAAGATGACTGTACAGTTGAAAAGTGTGGACAGATAGAAGGTACTTCGACTGTAGGTATTCTTCATAGGGGTAAAAAGAAGAAATTTTAGGAAAAAATTATTTAAAACCGAATAATACAACAAACTCAATGAAATCATTTCTCCTTGAAAACCTGATGAGCAACAGTCACCAACTTTTCCGATTTATAAAATTTCTTTACAATTTTAGCCATGCTTTTTCAAATTTACAACATTGAGCAGAAGAATGATTCTGAGGTATATTTACATGGAAAGAATCCAGAAGAAATTGGAGCATCCATTCAAACAATCACTATCAAAAATATATTCTCGGATATCTACTTTCTTCATTCCGAGGGTAAGAGAAAAGAATTCATTTCCGATTTAAACAAAGCTTTCAAAGTGGTTTCAGTGGAAAACACCACCAGAAAAAACATGTTTATAAAAAGCTTAGAAAGAACTCTTAATCTCTTAAAAGTCAAGTTCGCTGAAAATGCTAATTTAGAGAATTTTGAATCGGATTATTGTGAAATGGCACAGACTGAATTTTGTAGCCCAGTAGAAAACATTGTGATTTCTAGGAAGCTCATGGGGCCATGTATTGTTGAAATTACTGGGAAAAATACTGATTTTAAGGATATTAAATTTGTTAGAATGGGTTGTCTAACAAAGTTAAAGCTATGTTCAATTGCCATAGAAGCACATAGTGAGAAGATTGTACGATACGTCTATAATGATGGAAAAAAGGAAATATATGGAAGGCATATGGATGCGAATGATATAAACCCAAAAGAGGAGAGTTTTAATACACTGGATGAAGTTCACTCTAGTTTATTAAATGTGATAAGAATTCAAGGGCCTGATTTGATTATTTGTCACAACTTCAGCTTAAATAGGAAGATTAATATCAAAAACCGACTCTTTTGTGATCTATTTAATTTTTCTATGGGAACCATCAAAGGAAGAGATTTTTCTATTGATGAACTATCTAAAAAATATGATGTGGATAGAATTCAAGGATTAATTGGAGATTCAAAGGCTATATTGCAAATATTTTCTAGAATGAATGTGCTAAATTTGGCAAAAGAAATGTCAGAAATCAGCGGGTATATGTTAGATAGATGCCTAACTAACTCTAGAGCGGAAAGAATAGAGTATACACTACTACACGAGCTATATGAGCATGGCTATTTATTCCCGATAAGTATTAACAACCTGAGTTCAAAATACTCTGGAGGATTAGTATTGGAACCAGAAAAGGGATTTTATGAAGATATTGTTCTTCTACTTGATTTCAACTCATTGTATCCATCGATTATACAAGAATTCAATGTGT